CTTATTGTTCTCTTTTTGTTTTTTGGAGGTAGAACAAGATGAACTGGATTTGTCCAAAGGATCTACAAGCGATTCCGAAAAGGATTTAAATATGGATTTGCGATCATTAAATACATCTGTTCTATCAACTCAGAACTCAGAAATCAGACTCCTGAATCTCGATGTGTCGGCGCTTTTGGCTTACGTTACGAATATGGCTAATGGATATAATAATTATGTTTATCGGGAGCCATTACTTATGCAACAAGCAGAAATGGAAAGGAAACGTCCCATAAAACCGATTCTAGAAAATTTGTTTCGGGACAAAGAACTTATAATCTGCCGGACAGCATATAATAATTTTATGAATATTATCGATGTTATCGGTGGTCCGAATGAAACGCAGCGTGCTCAAGAATTGTTAAAGAAAGTCCGAATCGTTGACGATGTCACTACTGGACGAATTATGGAACTTCGCTTAGGCGGTAAAATTAAAGGTCGATCGCGACTGATTTTTGCAACGGGCGAAAGTATGAAAAGTATTACAGTTTCTGCTAATGAAGGATTTGTAAGAGCGGCGCGCATGCAGGTAATTATATTCAGCATATAAAATTATTTTACTGTCAGTTTTACATCACTGATAATGAATAATATTATAAATATTTTATTTTTTTAGGGCATTGAGTGTACAGTTTTCTTACATGAGCCACGATCTCTATCAGAAGTTAAAGAAAATAATGCAACACATATAGAGCAATCTTGATATTATTCCAAATATCTAGGCAATCACAAAGAAAATATATACTGGTACTAAGCATTTCTATTGTTTATTATATTAATTTATTATATTAATTTATATATATTATATAAGATGATGTTTATGTGTTATTTCTCTGGAGAAAGAAGCTATTATATTTCATCATTGATTATCTGAACATTAGATTTGTTAAATTGAAGCTCTATATTTTCTTGAAATTCTGCAAAATATAAAATAAATTGTTATTACACAAAAGGCGAGGTGTAAGATTAAAATATTTAATAATACCATCGATAAATTTGTTGAAATGAGGATTCTTTTCTTTGGCCATCCGTATATATTCTTTACTCTTCTCCCTATTTCTGAGATGTATATAACATTTAGCGCTATACAAAAGAGCTTTTAAATTTGAGTCATTTAGTTTTAACGTCCACTCGCAGTCGTGCAAGGCTTTTTCGAATAATCCGAGATTCATATATGATAACGCGCGATTATTCCACAATACAGAAGAGTCTTTACGTTGTTCCAATGCTTTGCTATAATAAGTCACGGCCTTCTCATAATCACCTTCTTTAAATGCACCGTTTGCAATTCTCTTTAACGTTTCCGCCCGTTCATTTCTAATTTTGCGTTCTTCAGCTCGTTTTTTAGCGTCGTTTTCTACGCTCTTCATGAATACCTCTGTTTATATAAATCGCGTCAATTTATAATTTATCACTACTTGCCGAATAGACAAAACAATAGCATAATACATGTATAAATGTACCTCGCGACATTTGGTTCGGATCATCATTTGAATCATGTTCCTTTGACGGATATTTATTAATTACTGATCGATCAGTTTTAACTTTTACCTCGCTATCTCCAAAAACTTCTTTTTGAACATCTTGTTTTAATATTTCATCGGCTAACTTTTTCCCGCATTCTTGTTCTTGTTGATCGGAAGATGCTAATTTCTTCACGATTTTTTCTTGAATGAAAAATTTTATTGATATAAGTAAATTTGCAATATAATCACGTGTCATACTCACCCACTTCAGTGACACGATGCATAAAATTTTGAAACTCTTCTTCTGTTACATGTTTATCAGGGTTTAATTTATTAACAATATCATTTGCCTGTTCTGTTTTATCACAATACTTTACTTTATTCTTCATATTCATATCCATTTTTTTATGTAAAATCGTAGGAACAATTGCAAAAACCTTTTGTATACGCTATAAGGAGAAATGTCAAGTTTGCTTCCAAGGAAACCGCTATATAACAGAGTTGCTATGGTTTGTTACGCTACATATCTACTATGGCTGCTTTCTTTTTAATACAATTGACATTTTCGACACACGTCGTTTTTCATTTATTTTGTTTAAATTCAATTACATTTTTCGACTCTGTTAGCGAGGAGAGTCGGAGTGTGTTCAAATGTTATTTTGAGTGATATCAAGACGCATTCGCAAATCAGCTCAATCACTTTTAATTCTGTTTTTTTAACAATGTATGTTTTTTGCTGGAAAGCACCGTTTGAAAAACTAAAGACGGGAGCACAAAATCTTGCATAATGCATAAGGCATAATAGAATCAAACAATCAGAATTTTTTATTTCATAGAAAGGAAACAAATGAAAGATTTTTAATTGGTTCATCTTCTTGTGTATTATACTTACGATTAAGCGAAGGTCTACGCTCCGGCCTTTATTATAAATTTTGTGAAGCATTGTGAAGTTATTAAAAATTCATACACACTGCACATATAACGGTCTATTAATTGTGGCAAATTGTTCTGCGAATGTTAATTTGAGTCGATTTATGTTTCTTAAAAAGAAAGCAGTCTGTTATATTATGTATATATAAATCGATCTAAGAGCCAGAGCTTATTTCACCTTTAAATAAATTATGACAACTTTGTGAAAATTCATTTAATGCATAAAAAAAAGAGCAAAAGACCGAGACGACGAGAGTGAGGGACGAGTAAGTTGAATTTATCAAAAGGTGAAACAACCTAGTCATAATGTATCTATTATCAATTAAATTATCGCATAAAAAAATTTTACATTAAAGAATAATTTTAATCGTACACGTAGATTTTAAAATGAGTTACGATTTGCACAGCTTTATTATAAAACAGCAAGATCATGCAACGTAAATATTGAGGAAACGATGATTAATTACTGTATATATAGCAGTCTGAAATTTCAAATGTCATGTATATGAATATCAAAGTGTAATATGTGAGAACATGCAACAATACTTATATACATTTTCTTATCGATTGATGAATCTTAATCATATTAACTGTTTGAATCTTTTCTAGGTGGAAACTCTTTATGATGAGTGTTCTTATTTAATGAATGGACCAATATCTGAGAATAAAACTGTTGCGTGGTTTTACTGCTTTCTGAGTTATCATTGTCAATTTCGTCAACTTCTAAAGGATCCATATCAACATCTTCTTCCATGTCGGAAGATATATCAATTTCGTCCTTTATGTAAACTGTACTTAAATTGTTATCTTCACTTGAATTTTTTTTAACTTTTCTTCTATCTAAAGGTTCATTTATTTTATTGTCTGACACAGAAGTGGATGGCTTTCCCGCTGTGATCTCCACTTCGTCCATAATACAACGCACTTTCTGAAAAGATAATGGTTTGTTTGTTATTGTGGATAACACACTTGGCCAACTGATCTCGGGATGCGTCGGAAAATCTTTTCTCTTTCGCTGCATCGGGGACATTCTTCGCACTCCTCTACTTGTACTTGGCTCGTTAATGTCTATAATACTGATACCGGAATTGCTAGTCTCTAGCCGTTGACACAACTCGCTTATGTTAATCTCTTCGTTCTTCGTCATTTCCTGAGGAACTTTGGCTGTCGTTTTGTAAGGATTCGTCTTCGGAACAAACTTCATCTGCGGAATCGTTTTACTCTGTGTTTTCGTGCTTGTCTCATATTCTGAGCTGACGCTGCTTCTACCAGATGAGTTTTTGGCTTCTTCCAACTTCAATCGCGACACTGTCGTCGTCTTCTTCAACACATCGTAGTGCTCCTTGTTGTTGGAACCTTCAGATAGCAACGATGGCGGGATGTGCCGGAGCCCAGTGACTTCAAGTGTCTCAGCGAGTTTCAGTAGTCTCCTAACCTCGCTCTGCACTACTTGTATTTCGCCACAATACATGAAATTCACGAGAGTCTTGAGATCATCGGCCTCGATGTCATGCAGGACGATCATCGGATGCGGATGATCATTAGCCAAGAGCAATCGGCGGAAGAAGGAGCTCGAATTAGCCAGTACCATCTTGTGACATTTAAGGATTGTACCGTCCTTACATGCCAGGGAGAGATCGACAAATTGCTGTTTCTCGTAACAAGTGTCGAGTGAGCCCACCATGTGCGACGGGAAGCTCTGCCATTTGAAGCTCAACACGGAATCCTCCTTCATTGTTGCGCTTTTAAGTCAACTCTTCAAGTCAGAGATCTCGTGATCAGGCGACGCGGGATATTCATTTAGCGGTGTTTCTAACAACTATACTCGCCATGACACCACGTGCCGCTGTTGTCGTGCATTGTCGTCGGTCATATCACGAAGCCAAAGATGGGGATGGAGATATTGAAGATGGAGCTGAGACGAAGATGTTAGATTGTAGAGGTGGATTTTTCCGGCGGGACTTTTCGTACGCATGCGTGAATACGTCACTGCATAGTCACGTGATAATTCCTCCATTTTCCTCGAGATTGCACCAACGCTATTTTAATTTTAAGCGAGGCTGAAAACTCTCTCCCTTTCTATCTCTCTATCGACTTTAAAAAAAGAAAGAGAGAACGTTAAGCTTCTAAAATGCTTTTAAGTTTTTAAAATATTCATAGACGTATGTATGTATATTTACGCACATCACGTATTGGGATATTCACTTTTTTGAATAGGCAGATGTGTTAAAATACCCCAAACAAATTTTATCTTTACAGTTATATTTTTTATACAATAGCGTTTATACAGCTAAATTTACATTATATATTTTATGAAACAGGTAATGTAAAAATAATAAATTAACTTTTTAAGAGTTCTGAGCAATACTTTTCTTTCCTTTTTTAAAACAAGATTTTTAAGATAATTATACTTTACTTTTTTTTACTTACTCAATTTTAATATTATCACCAGATTGTAATAAGTCTAACTATAAAACCAAGAAATTAAAAATTTTGCTTAATTTAAATACGCTTATACTAGAAACTTTTACATTATTATTAAAAAACTAAAAAAAAAATCAGACTAAAAAGCTTAAAATGTACTCAGGAAGATGCTATTTGTGGCATTTTACTTTTATTTTACGTCTAATGAACGCTAAAGATAGACCAAAGAACAGAAAAATTTCGAAATTCCCGCACATTCGTACTGCTCGGCTTGAGATATCGAAGGGTCGAGATATCGCGAGGTCTCGAGCGCGAGATCGCTCGATCGTAAGAAGGGCGACTTCTCGACGGTCCAATTGGCTTCGATAATTGCAAATGGTCGTTTAATAACAGATGATTGAACGCGTTCAGCGGCGCGCGGCGTGGCATTTATCTGTCAAAAGCGGTGGCGGCCGGCCGATGAACATTGTGATGCGCCGCCGGCTGACGCGCGTCCGTTGACCATTGAACCGGCGAGACGTGGATCTGCGGAGGCTGCGAAGCTCTTTACTTTTCCCGGCTCCGGGCGACGGGAACGTCGACAGTCGACACACGGCGACGACGGACGGCGGCGACGACACGACGCGGCGGGAGAGCGAGAGAGCGATAGAGAGAGCGAAACGCGCGAGAGACGAGTGTGCGGAGCGGGCGACCTTTGAATAACCGACGCGTACGTTTATTATTATGTGATTGCGGGTTGCGCGCGGGTTCACGACGGTATAACGAGGCAGACGATAGGAAGAAAGCTGTAGGAAAATGCGGAGCACCGACGTTTTCTGCTATCTCATCGTGGTGACTCTCGCCATTCTGTCCACGCTCGGCCGTGCAGGTGAGTACCCACATTGGATTTATTCTCGAGAGTATACATCGTGGAGTAGCCAAGATAGAAAGAGAGAAGAGAGAAAGAGAAAGAGAGAGTATATCGTGGCAGGCCCGCTGTCTGGCTAGTAAATTAAAGCCCGAGCGAAATTGGTTCGTCCGAGCGAGCCGCCGCAGTCACCCCAGCTTAACCACAATGGTCTTCTTCCGCTCTTTCTCTCTCTTTCTCTCTCTTTCTCTGTGCCTCTCAATTCCTCCATCTCCGTCGTTCCTTCTCGAAATCACGGATCGTCTTTGAGAGAGCACCCTCGGCTGCTACGCGGAATTGTCCAGATCCGCAACACGTGTGATTCTAGTGCGTTCTCGTTCCTGCACTTCCGGCGGTTCCACATTGAAAATGCGCTTTTCACGACGAGAGATATTCCGCCGAAATTTATCCCGATTACTCTCTAAATTCTTCGGAGTGAAATCTTACTCCAGAGTGAAAATTGAGCCAGTCTCGTAAACGAGTGGCACATAAAAGTCAATAAAAAATTAAAATGGCTTTATTTTGATTCCTAACGTTAATAAACAGTCAATAAATAGTTAAATTTTGTAATAAAAAAAGTCGTTATTTTGATTTTTATGACGTCAAAATAAAATCATTCCGACTTTCTTTTCATTCAGTGCATTTTTTTGGTAAGAGGTTTCATTAGTAAGATACACTCTAAAGATTTTAGAGAGTAATCGACGTTGATTTTTACTTTTATATTCAATTTTATTTTTAAATATTATGATTTTTATGCGTGAGATATGGTTTTTGCGCTTCGCAGAAATACAGGAAATACTACCAGCGATAATTTAACAATATCACGCTGTATGATCTGTGGACTTTATGCGCAATATGATAAAAATGCAAATAATTGACACCATAATGTTACCGAGGATCGTTAAGAGATATCGAGTTTCCAAAAAAACGGAGCTCGATGAAAATTTTGCCCGCGCTTTCTCTATTGACGCAATCACCATATTTTTTTGCAAATAAAAAC